TCAATGAGAATCTGAAGCATCTTTTCTTCTATTGAAAGTGAGAATGAATGCACAGAGGTAGTGAAAGGGATAATTTCCTGTCTTTGTAGCCCTATTTGGTCGTTACTTGCAGCCCCCCTTGGGATAGAGTGGCATGGTGGATGAATGCTTGTATCCAGGTTGCATTCAATAGAGAGCGAGCTGTGTCCTGTGCAGCCTGGTACGGAGGTCCATTGTAGGTCTTGGTTTGACTTCTACTCAGTCTGTTCTGCCCACAAGGCAGAGGCTGTGTGTGAAAGTGGGGTGGTTGCAGCACCTCTTCATTAACAAATGTACATTCTGCAGAGTTCCCATCTGTGGGAGGCTGTTTCTGGAAGAAGGGTACCCAGAGGACAAGGTTTGCCCTGCACTGATGACAGTGAATAGGCACCCAGGACCCTTTTGAGCCATCTGCCCCAAATTGGTCATGCTTTAGGAGGTAATGACCCAAGAATAGAGTGGCTGCAAAGAAACCAGGAGCATAGGGTTCCTTGGTGCTATTGCAGAAATAAAGAATAAATCTGTGTAGCCTTGGGGAGAGAATACACATTGGCTCCAGCCAACAGAAACTTCTACGGAAAGAAAGAGCAGATCCCTCGTGTGCAAGTGATGGATGACCATGCCACTCACTTCTGTGTGTGAGGAAGGACACAGCTCTTGGATGTCCCCAGAAAGCAAAGCATTCCTCTTTGATATTTTCCCACGTTCAGCTGCTGTTCTGATGATGCCAGTGAGCCACTGTGCAGGCAGTTGATTGCTCCACCACAGCAATCCCTTGCTGCTTCTCCTTCTGCCTCAGCTGCTCCTGGGCAGCGCAGGTCCCTCGCCTGTCAGCACGGATCAGGGGATGCTGCAAGGCTGAGTGCATGGAGCAAAGGCCAAATGCTGCCCTCCGAGCTATTCCCAGCCCTCATGGACTGCAGCACACTCCGTGTGTTTGTACCGGAGGCAAAATTAACTAAACACAAAGGCATTATCTTCTACGAGAAAATAAAATGCATCCATGCTTTCAGGCTGTGGTGTGATCTGGCTCTCTCTCTCGCTTTTAGATGAGTATAAAGGAGAAGCTGCTTGAGTTTTATTAACTAATAACCAAGGAAACCCTTTTGGAGTGTCAAAATCTCACGAGACATCTCTTCTTTCACTGAAGCTAATCTGCTGTTCTGTTCAGCGGAGATGGAACAAGCATCTAACCCAGCTAATCAGGACCATCTCTCGGCATATTCTTTTTGCCTGCAGTGTGATAATAAGGTGCTGCTGCTCTGCATTTAACGTTCTGCTGGTTTGCTTTAATAAAGCGCTGTCAGTATCTCTGCAAAAAGACTCTGGGCAGGGGGATGCACTCCCTAAAGCTGTCTTTGCTCTCCAGCCCCTGCCTCTGCCCCTTCTCCAGGGAGATGCTAATCTCGCAGTGTTGTACTTTCTGCCTTTCTGTCCATATGTGACAATTGTGTGTCTGATCGCCACAATCTCGCACAGTTATTGTACCCTAGGGAAAAGGAGCCAAAAAAGCATATGGGGCTAGAGAAAACGGTGTGCTTCACTGCACACAGGCGTATTTCAGACAACTGACTCTTTGGTATGGTGCAGAAAATATGTGGGGGCTCTGAAATCTTTTGGAAGTAAAAAATCAAAGCTGTGATTTCGTTTTCCTCAGCCAATGCTGAATTTGTAGGATTACTCTAAAATTAGTGTTTCACTTGCTAAAATTGTAATCATCATGGATGCTATTGACATCCAGATTGCTCATTCAGTAAGGACTGCTTCTGTAGGAAGAAAAAAAACAACTCTATTTCTTTCTGCTCTATTGGTTTTCTGAGCAAATGGATACACGGGCACAAACATCCCAACATGTATACACGCAGGTTAGAAATTACAAGCTGAAGTGCTCATCATGAAAGCAGTTGTAGACTTACACCTTGTCTAGCCCTGCATCCATTCCCACCTCTCTCCATGGCTGCTTGTCCAGTGACTTGAAACAAGCAATTTTCTGCTCTCATCCGTACTTTTTTGCAGCTCTTCCCATAGACACACAAATTTACTGCAGCCTTGTAGCCTTAGCAACTGCTGCCACTTAAGGTTTGTATATGGAGAAGGGTAATGGGCAGAGGATCGTGCCAGGAAATAGGAAGCAGCAGCCTGAACCAGGGAAGAAGGCAGATACTGAATTCTCTGACATGGCTTCCTGTGGATTGGATCCCAGCTATCTGTATGTATTACTGCGAACTCAATGAGTTTGCAAGAGGCTCCTCTTGGATCCAGGCAACTGCTTAGCTAGTCAGGCTGAAAGATGGCCATAACCCAAACTTCAGAGCTTGGAGACATCTGCATGGCACCCTTGGATGGATGCTCTCTCCTGGTGCTGCGCAGAGGAGAGATGCAAGAGTAAGGCTGAGGTCCAGTAAGCAAAACTTGCTGGAAAACTCATGCAGTGAGGTTGTGGAGCCCCTTGGAAAAGGTCTTTTAAAGATTAGTCCACTTGGTCCTGCTGTCAGGATCAAGCCTAGTCCCATCAGTGCTGCCTCACACCGTCACTGGGAACCTTAGAAATGGGGGAGTCACCAAGGGTGTGGACACTGCAGGCTGCGTTCAGTGAGCTCAGGGGTAAACATGGAGAACTTAGAGCAGCTGTGAGCAGGTTGAAAAAGGAGTTTGTGAGGCATGTGTTCATGTAACGTGCCAGTATCTGGCATGCTATGTGATGTATGTGTATAAGGGTGTGCTTTAGTGTGGTATCTGTAACTGAGAAAACCTTTATTCAAATTGTGTGGTGGTTGTCTTTTCAAAAACAGCTACAGAAAGTCTACAAGGCATAAAATACAGAATTGTTAATGACATTAATGATTGCAGCAAACTTTACTGTGTAAAATATTCATTTAATGTGTTGTTATTCCAGTGTTGTGCTCAGCAGAGATATGCTGCTCTGGGTATTCAGCTATCACCACCATGGGCTTTACAGTATCACACCATGTGATTATGCAATACAATTACATGTTTTGAAGCTATTAAGGAAAAGCTATCTTATGGCTGCATTAAAAAACCATAATGGTCGCCTATCAGAGTCTCTCAGAGTCTAAAATAGCAAATTACAAAAAATAATTGCTTTTCTTAAGCATCATCAGCTTTAAAAAATCCTGTAAATCCCTAAGTAAAGGTCTGTCCTTTTATCAAACACCTTCTTAAGGCCTTCATTACAAGGAGAAGCAGTTCAAGGATTTCTGACTTGTATTGACTCAAGGGAAAGAGCCCCAAATATATCAAAATCAGGAACGTTTTGCCTGTTTCATATTCATAGTTTCTTCTTTCTGTGTGACTGATTTATTCTGCTGTGTGCCCCCAGGGTGTGCATTGTCCAAAATAAAGGCTGCCAAAAAAAATGAGAATGGGGAGCAAGCGTGGTGAGGGCAGTTTAACCGTTGTGCTTAAATGCTGAGACTCCTGCACATCTTGCATCCTCATGTGTGAACTCACCTTATGGTGTTTCTTAACAAAAGCATACTGACTAAATAACTAACTTCAGCACAATGCAAGACGTCGTGTCTGAAAATAGAAAGCTGCTATGAGACAGTTACTCCATGCTGTGAAAGACGCTCTTTCCTGCTTCTGTATTGTCTTAAGTTGTACTTGTGCTGCTGCAGCATGTGCTCACATTATAAAGTGCTGTGATTGTGTAGAACAAAGTACAAACGCATAGAAAGCAGAAAGCAAGTGCCCATGGTTATTTTAGCTTCTGGTTTTGCCTAAGAGAGTGGTTTGCTTTTCAGCAACTTTTTCGCTCTCTGGCACGTATAGATGTTGGAAACAAAGGCAGCACAAATTGCTTGCACCATGTCAGCAAAGCCGGCTCTGCAGAGTGGGCTCTCTGTGTAGAGCACAATGCCCAAATTACAGAGGAGCAGACTGCAAGGCAGAAACTTGTGAGCCACTCCATGCAAATACGCTTCAGCAAGTGAAACAGCACACTTGACAAAAGGCGCAGCTCAGAGGTCGCCTGCAAACTTTGCCCAGGTGTTGAGCAGTTCATTAGGGGCTGCGAGGGGCATCTCTCTGCCATGGGAAGCCATTGTTAAGCGCCCTGACAGATGAGAGCAGACCCTTCTCTTGTCACAATAGCTGCTCAGACCAAGCAAGGCTCATTAAATATTCAGTTCCAGCCTCAAGCAGCTCATTAAGTCAGCAATGAGGAGTGACGCTGGTGTTGGAAAACCCTGCCTCAGTTAACATCACCATGCAGAGTCTCCTCGGATCTCTTCATGTTATTCTGCTCAGTACCTTTTCTGTGATGACCAGCTTGTGCTCTCTGCTTTGCATTAAATACAGGTAAAGAAAGTCAGGTGGATTTAAGTTCTCCTATTCTTTATGGGCCTTTTCAGTGATGAGTCCTGGGGCCCAAGCAATTTGTCTGTCGTGTTTTTCTGTAGTAATACAAGCTCGCAGGAGGAGGATGGGGTGAGGGTTATGTGGCTCCAGTGTTTTATAATACAAATAGTAATGTCTGAAGGATAAGTTTTACAGCAGAACTTTTGTGACATGCAGCAGTTAAAGATGCTGTATTACCATCTATCCACTGTTACACAGCAGAAACTTTTACAGTAAGTAAGTATGTTGCCTGGAAATGTTGTGTCTTAGGTGGATTTGGCTTAAGTTGTATGCTGAACAATTCTCGTGCAGTTTTTGAATGATGTATTTGAAACCTGTTTTGCAACTGCTGACTTCTGTGAGTATACTTTCATTTCCAGTGGTACCTCAGAATAATTTGCAGTGGCACTTATGGTGGGTGGATGTCAGCTGTCAATGAATTAGAGCACACCAGAGCCTGGAATTAGAATTGAAACTGTTGAAAACTCAAATATGTTGTCTACTGGTGTTTTAAAACTGTAACATCTGCAAGTATGGAGCAGAAGTGGAGAAGCCAAACGTGCAAAAGTTTGGGGTTTTTTCACACTGTGAACATTTTTTCTTCTTTTTTTCTCCTTTAACAGAAAGTGTTTTCAGACTGCCCATTTCTATGTGGAAGACAGCAGCTCACCCCGTGTGGTCCCCAATGAAAGTATTCCCATCATACCTATTCCAGGTAAGGAGGACTTAATCCCCATGTTTTTGCTATTTTAAGTCTTGTTTGATTACACAAAAAAAGAGAAGGTTGTGCTTGTGATGAATTGTGTGTTAAAAAAAAATAGTGGTATTGATGCTGCTGCATTCAATAGAAGGTGCTTTGTAATGGGGCTGTGAGTACCAATGTTGTACTTTTCCATAGGCATCTCTCCCATGTTGTTTTAATAGAAATTTCAGAATAACCTTTGTGAAATGTCAAAAGCGCAAGTAACACTTCTTAAAAACACCAAGACATGGCATTCAAAGTGAAACCAACCTCTCCTTTGGGATGGGCTGGGGACAAAGAATGCACAGCTCCACTGCTCGCTTCAGGTCTGGGCGTTTGCCCCCCACTTCTGATGTGGGCAGAGGTGGTGTTTGCTGAGTCTCAGAGAGGAAAGCAAGACACAAGGATAAGCACACAATCTTGAGTGAAGTTCAAAACCATCTGTTAATTTGGTATTAATCAAGTTATCAAAGGTCAAATTCTCCCCTCGGCTATGTCGAGAGAAAAGCTGGTTGCAGGGTTTAGCAGTGTATTCTATTAATGAGGCATTTCCACTGGGAATTATCAAGGATCCAGCTTCCTTTAAGCAGTGATGACAGAGAACAGCTCGGTGTTATAATGGCCTTTGCAGCCACTGACTTGTTTGATGTTGCTTAGTTTCATGCACGGGATTAATGTACTCAAAATGTTGGATTGACCTCAGCCCATCAGATGTTTGTACTTGTCACTTCAAGGTGGTATTCTGAATTTCTTGTCATATTCTGTAATTTACATTGTTGGTGTGAGCACCGTGGAAGGAAGTGCCTTCTGGAAGAGCCTCCCTGCTTATTAGCTGCTACCTGTACTGCTGGCCTATAATAAGGCTCAAAGTTAGTAAACATAAATTCCGGCTATGTTGCCTTTTTCCAAAGGTGGGAGACACTTCCTGAAAATAATGTCTCCTAAACACTTCTTATGTTTGGAGATCCAGAAGAAACCTTTTTCCCCCAGTACTCTCACTGCTAAATGATATTCTTCTCTGACATCAGCTGCTGCTCCTGCATAGGCCGCCCAGTGAAACTTCTTCAAAAAAATTAAATAACAAAATTCTCCTTTGAACTAATTGCAACTGATGAATTGATAAGCCCTTGGAATTTTTTGGTGGAAGCTGCCAAAGCATGTGAGAAAGTGTTATTTTGCTACATGGATTGCAACACTAAAATATAAGTGGCATTTCCCCAAAAGCATGTTTTTTGAAGTGATCTTGTTAGCTTGTGAAACCTTAGACAATACAACCTTAAAAAAGATATTGGAATAGATCCTTGTGGAACCATGCATCTACCACCTACAGTTCAGTGGACCAACTTCTACTCTGAGTTATGTGCAAGCAGAAACGCTGGTGGCGATTCAGAGCAGTGTGCCTAAAGACATCTACAAACTGGCCAGGGCCTATCCCAGCATGCAGGGAGATGTAGCTGGAGACTGCTGGGCAGGTTGGGGTTGGCTCATCCTGGGCCCATACGTGATCCTGGGCACAGTGATGTCCTGAAGCAGCTTTAGGGATATTGGAGGTGATGCTGGTGTCTCCGCCCTGCTCTGCTCTGCTCTGCTCTGCCCTGTGGACATCGCTGGCATACTCAGAAGTAGTTTCCATTCTTTTTTTCTTTGCTACATTCTATTCTTACTTAGACATACCCTCTATTTCCTTAGATCTATGAACTTTAAAGCCAATCTGCTGGCTGCCCCCAGGGGGTACACAGCACAACTTTTCAGATCCAAAATCTGAAAAGTCTTTTTGTAAAGGAATGGTTTTATTCATTATCTACTTCACTTCCCATGGCATACACACTTGATTATTGTGCATGAAACCACATCACCCATAGGCATGTGGTTAGCTGTGTGAATTTGCTCTGAGATCCAAATCATTATCATTATTCATAATTATCTACACTACTTCATCTAGAGAAACGTGGGACAAAGGAGACATCATCAACTGAGTCAACCACTGGATATTGCAGCTGAGGAGTAAATGTAAACTCACGCAAGTGTTGTGCCTGTCTGACATACCTATAATCAATGGCAGAATTCTGAATCATCCCTACAACTCAGCTAAACAAAATTATTTCTCTATGTCCCTTTTCTTTGCCCAACATACCCAGTTCATTTTGGCAACCTGTACATTATTTTGTATGGATATCTTCAGCACTTGGTCTGGGCAAGATCTCCCTCAGCAAACCAGCTCCTGTTCCCATTTGTTTATTTTTTCATAGTTGGGCTGCAGCTGCACTTGGTCCATTTTGGTGGAGTTGAATAGGAATAGCAGCAGCACCATAGCTGCAAATCTGTATGTTTTACATGCTGCAAAACAAAAGACATTCCCATCAGTCCTCTTTTGTTCTCACTGCAAAACCTTCTCCATGATAGCAGTGCAGAAGTGCCCCTCTGTGTATCGTAGATAGTATCAAACATTGGAATAAGCACCAAATCTTCTTACAACCTCCCCCTGTTGTTTGCTCAGAGCATTTCTGCTCTGGTCCATGAGTTGTTCTGGAACGTGCTGTGGCTTTCCAGGTTCGTCTCCCAGCCCATGGGCACAACAGGCACTGAGGCTGTGCTGTCAGCAGGACTTGTCCTGAGATCCGTACAGAGAGAGGTGAGGACTGACACCAAGGCAAAGCTCAAAATTCTACGTTTAAAAAAAACAGTCCAGAGAAACACAGCTCGTAAAGAACAGAGCGGCTGGCCCATGCACCTGGTTCAGTTAGCATATTGTTCCAGATGTCTTTCACCATTTTTAATATAAGTAAAATGTCTCAGATGTGATGCCAGTCCTTTCAGCAGTGTCTAGACTGCGAGACTCAGAAGCACTTCCCAGTGCTTGGATCACATTGCATACTGCATTGCAGTAAATTAGGGTTGTTGTTTTGTTTTGTTTTTTACTAGTATTTGAGCTTCTGATTTAGTATATTTAAAATAACTAGTGGTAGAATCTGTGAGAGAAACACAGTCATACTTCTTAAGAGATATCTCACTTGACAAGGAAACTGCAGGTTCCCAGCTGAGCCTTGGTGTCTCACTGTTTTTCGCTAAGATGTGGCTGTCTTAAGGTGCATCCCAAGGCAGAGGAGCAGAGCTAGGGACTGTGGCTGTGTAAGTCACCATGCTAGGGACTGCTGAGGTACAGAGGGACGTGCTAACTGCAGCTGAGGACTTGTTTCTCAAGGGCATGAAGTTTTTCTCTGAGCACAGAGGTAGTGTTCTTCAGCTGTTTAAGACTTCGCCTGCTTTCTGCTCCCTGCGGATTAATGTTCCAGCACCATATTGTGAATTGTGCCTCTCTTCAGCTTCAATTAAATTCATGAATGCAGTATTGCAAACAGCCGTCCTCTGGAGCCAAGAAAATATCAACGTATTTTAAGGAACGTTCACCTTCCTTTTTTCTGTGTCACCAGCTCTGCTCCTGTACTGGACAGAAGAGCTCCTGGTAGCAATCTAATAGTGGTACTTGTAATGGAGGCTTCGTGTGTTTACTGAATCACCCAAACACATTTTTATGGTGGCCACGTGGAACGTGAACAGATCCTTTTCAGAGAGCTGTCATGCTGGACTGCAGAGAGCTCCAGAGTTGCACATCCATGTGCTTGAACCTTAAATGCAATAAATATATGTAATTAATGGCACAGCTGGGACCAGAGAATGGATATGTGTGAGATTGGAGTTGTGCTCCTTAGCAGGCAGTATCAAATAAGATCATGTTTAATGTCTGTGCTAATGGAAAATTCTCATTGTTTCATTCTCTTGGATTGAAATTGGTTTTTTGCTTAAAGGAAAAAAAGTATATTGCTATTGCATTTATAATTAATGATAGCCTGATCTAAGATTTGTACAAGCAGATTTAAACTGAGCTCTTATTTTGACACATATAAAATTTTATCGTTAACATCTTTATATTCCTGACTGACACATAGCTAATAGCATTGTAGCAGATAAGATCTTGAAGCAAGAGAGATGAATGTAGCTACAGTATTACACAGGTGATTTTTCATATTCTGCTTTTTCACGTCTCTCCTTTATCAGAAATTTGCCCTTGTATTCATTTGACTTGATTATAACCAAGTCAGTAATTATCTTGCAGAAAAGGATTCTGTGTTCTTCTTTCAGAGTTCTTTCCTCTTCAGGACACTCAGGTGTACTTACAGCTTTGTGTGTCTTTTCACACTAAAAGACATTTTTATTAAAAACAATGCTTGATTAAACAAATAGCTACAAAAATGTCTTCATTAATGAGGAAGAGAATCCCCACTAATCAACTCTCGCTAATTTATTATTTATCTTCATTTATCTAAATGACATTTATTTAGATTATAAATGTAAATTTATGATTTCTCTAAATTAATGAGGTCACTGGCTTCAAGATGATGCCAGCTATAGAGCACTTTCAGCAGGTGCTCTGAGCTCCTACTGCACTGCTTATTCCATCCAAACCTACTGTATTGTTTTTTTAGTATGTATGCAGGTACGAACTCCACAGAAAGCAAAGACCTTCTCAGTATTAAGAGTTTTTAAATGACTTTGTTGTATCATAAATCGACTGATACTCATGTTATACAAATAAAACTGTTCTTATATTCCTGGCTTTTTTTGTTATGCAGCAAGCAATGTGATCAGTAAGAAAAATTAATTATTCCAAATGAAATACAGTGGCTTCAGTTGCATCCTTATTTTAAATAGTAAAGCAAGAAAAGCCAATGTGCTGCAGAATTAAAGGCTGTGACTGTATAAATATGTGTAATTCAAATGCATTAAGTCTAAAATCCTTTGAAGAAAGTGGGGCACCTCCCATTTTTATGCGTGGGATTACTTGTAGAGTCAAGTACTAGCGTGAGTTAGGGCACGAGCTGGCAGTGGAGTTGCCTGCTTAAACATTTCAATTTCAATTTCAATCAGTGCCAAAATCTGAGCTGTATGTGAAGTTTTTGGTCCTGTAAATGTGCGCATTTCAGAGTCCACTTACAGTCTGTAGATACAGAGGTCTTTTTCTAAGCCTCTCTCTAGAGGTGGACGCCTGACCTCAATGAATTTGATGGGACATTTTCAATAACCTCGGCTTCCACTGGGGCCAAATTTCACCCAAGGGTGTGCTATTAATCTTCGCATTATTCTTTGTGATCAGCTGCTTTTCTAGAGACACACCAGATACAGACATATCGGGGCTTTATATCCCTATGCATGGTGTGCAGTCTCATATAGCTTGATACAGCTGCATGGATCCTATTTAAGTTTGGGCTCTGAATGCCCCATTACTGGCTGTGGACATGAATCTGCTGGAATTGCACTCCACATAGTTACTTCTTCATAGTTACTTCTCCTGCAGTACTGGCAGGATTTTGCTATAGCTCTGCAAGCCTTCCCTCTATCTAGTACATATGGAATGGCTGTTGGACTGAGGTGGAATAAGTTTTCATGTTAAATTAAGGCATAAGATATAAGGAGTATATTGGATTTAGTAGAGTGCAGAAGATAGTAGTTGGAAAAACAATTTATACACACTGTGAAAAACAGGGGAGAATCTTCATACCAAGTCTTCTGCACATCAAATGTAAAGCCTTCAGAGATTGCCAAACTCCAAGCTGGGCAAGGTAATATGAAGAAGAGCTTTGCTTCTGACTTTCTGTATTAATTGCTGACTCAAAACTGTCTATTCCACTCCAATACCCCTAAACCAACCAGTGAGCTCTCAGGCTACAAACGAGTCAAAGTGAGTCCTAGATCTTATTATGTGGAAATGCCATCTCTGATACAGTATTCCATTTTTCTTTTGCAATTGGCCTCTAGTGCTTTAACATTATAAAGGCAGCTTCTTAAGTGGGAGGTAGAGGAAAATCCTTCCTGGTAGGATTGCTAATTGCCCAAACTTTAAATGTAACCCTGTCCTAACTTTATTGCTTCTGCATACTTTGGGCTTCTTTTGAAGGTGCCTGTCATCCAAAAAAGCATATGCATTCTGCATTGTCTGCTGCCACTTCTTAGAAAATGAGGTAGAAGTGAAGGTTTTCCTCTTCCATCCTTTCTAAACAAACCTTTCTTCTTGGCATTCTCCTTTTTTTAACAGGAAATCTAATTTGCATTGTGCTCCCCTTAAGTTTTGTAGTTGTGATACTCCATTCAGATACTTGGACCAAGATGGGAATTCCACCGAAGTTTTCATTATCTGGGATAATACTCAAAGATAGCCCCATCTATCAGCTTCAGTAGTATCTGACTGTAAATGATTTTATTATAAATTACACTGCTTTTAATAATGTTTTTTATATATTTGTATTTGTATAATTGTAGTTATCTTAAAGTGTTGGAGACTTTTGCCCCTTTTCACCTAGTCTTACTTCTTTCTCTGAGTAACACGAAATCTGAGCATACCAGTATGGTGCCAGATTCAACTCTTATTTTGTAATGATGTAAATCCAGAATCATTTCACTTACACTGATACAACAGATGGTTAAATACAAGCCAGGAAGAGCAATAATTATGTCTGTGGTATTAGAGGTGAAGGTATGTTATTAAAGCATTTCCTTATTCTCTTTCAAGAATGTGTGGATCTTGCAAAATGTAAGCATCATACAGGCCATATCAAATGTCACTCTGGTTTCTGGATGGGAAGAAGTATATGACGCAAAAGGAAATAAGCACAGAATATCTGTTAAGGCTCCTAATTAGCCATTATAGGATTCCATTAGTCCCTTCAATCGACTAAAAGAATTATAGTCATTGAAATCTATTCTTTTCAAGTTGGAGGGGGAGGTTAACCTTTGGACTGAAGAAAGTGCAAGGAAAAGCATATTCCATGTGCATTTAGCTACATCTGTTGCTTTTCTTAGAGAAGGTCAGAGCTGTCTTCAGGTAACATCAGTGCAGATACCATTTAAGAGTACTGAGTACATTGGTATGTATTTCACCAGAGGTCCAACAAACTGCCCACAAGTAAGCATGCGCAGCTTGGGTAATTAATGCTCCTGGCTGAGGGCAAGGTGTTGGAGGTCATGAATAGAAAATTCCAGGTCCAAATTAACACTTTCCTTTTCCACCAGTTAGTGTAATAGGCTCTGTCTTACGGCTTCTTTCTTGCAACTAGCAGCAGGGGACACGATGGGCAGGAGGCAGCCGTGTCCCGACCAGCCGAGAGCTGCCTGGCCTCTCAAGCGATGGCTTCTCCTGCCAGACCTTGCACCGCCAGCATGGCCATATTATCCCAGCAGGATAATCATGAGTGCTTATTGGGTTTTTAACGTTTGTGGTTCTGATACTAATCTTCCAGAGATCAAACATTACATTTGTTACAACATGGTTTTCCTGAGTTTATGGGCAATTTCAGCGGCGTAAGCTCTGTGTCTCCCAGTGACCTCATACGTCACCAGTATTTACTATTTATTTGCCTTTTGTTTCCCATGTTCTCAAGTGGGGCAAGATATTGCATTGGGTTATGGCTTCTGGGGGGAGTCAAAGTGGTTGTAGAAGAGAAAATGCAGGAGAGGAAAATGGGAGAAGAAACATAAAGGGTAGTGAACAACAGAGAAGTGAATTAACAGTGACTATAAAGGTGGAGAGATGCTGCCACCATGCAGTGATGACGATAAAAGAAAACTAACCCTATTTTGCCATGGATCTCTGGTTCAGACCCATCCTTGAAATTGGTGGGAATTCAATGGACTGGAGAGTGCGTTATCTCTAATGTATTTTTTGGCTCACAGATCACAATTAAAATTAAATTCTACCTTCTGCAAAATTAAATTGGACACTCGAGTTTGCTACAGTGAATCCTTGATCTTGGTTGGTCTCAGCTGGGCTAGACTACTCAAGAAAAAATAATAAATATGGATCTTTTCCTGTGACAGTGTGTGAAATTGCTATCATCACACAAGCTATTTTCAGGGAAATTTAGGATGTTACTTTTCAGGAGAGGAAAGATTGTTTTACAGGCTCTTGCTATTGACTGCTGTTCGTGAAGCTCGTTCCATTCAAGTGTCTTGGCATCAAAAATATTAATACAAATGTTGCTATGAGGTGGTACTCAGTATTGCACAAAATAAATGTTAGCACTTAAATATTGTTAAGTGCAGCATTTCTGCATTCTGCAGCTTTTCACTAAGAGGAACATACACTTGTCAAATGTTTTGAGTTCTTTATTATTCAGCAAATGAGCATGTGGTTAATTAAAGTAGCATTACTACACCGGGAGGTGATCAGATTGCAAACATATCTTGAACAATTGGCTCGTGTAAATAAAATAGAAGAGAGCTGATTGAAATCTGAAAATGTCAATAGATGCAAAAAGCCACCCTAGAGCGCTACCTGATAAAATAAGAGTAGAGAAGTAATGACATGGTCAATATTAACTGCCATCAGCTGGAGAGCAATCAGGTTGTCAGGGCTGGATCTATAAAATTCTTGCCAAAGTAGAACCTCATTTACACATACAGATCTTCATACCCTTTGCTAAGAAAAGCATATGTGACAGCTTAGGGGTTTTAGCTGCCAAAGATCTTTCACTCTGAATACAGTAAATGTCACATCTATTTATTTATCGTTAAATTTTGCTAAGTATCTGTAGAAATATTTGGATTTTTTCTATCATAATGTAGATGTTCAAAAGGAAAGGAATCCAGATTATAATGCAGCTGTAGTACCAAACCATATGGCTGCGAAATGGGAGCAAAAGTACATCACTGAATTACTGGGAGTAAACATAAACTAGATGCGATCTTCAGAAGAATATTAAATGGGATACATAAATACCAGCGTGTTGCCATAAAATCATGCAGTCAGACAATAGTAGCCATCAGGCAATAGATTATTTCACATGCTGAAAGTAATCACAGTTGTATAGCAATTTACATTTTCAAAATGCCAGACTGAAAATATTAACTAATGAATCTTGGCAAGCGCAGTGTTTCTACCAACTGCAGCGGTGGTTATAACAGCGTCTATGCCTTTTTTGAGAGAAAGAGTGAGAAATGAGGCAACCGTCCTGCACTCCAGTTTTGTTAGGATCCGCCATAGGTGCTAGAAATGGTCTCTGTCTTTAGTTCAGGTCAAGCATTTAGCTTCTTTCTTTTGAGAAAATGTCTGCGGGTCACTTATCAGTGAATACGGGGTAGCGTTTGCACCGTGGTGAGCAAGAACAAGCGGTCCAGAGGAAGACATATTCAGTGTTATGAACAGTGCCTGCCATGAGAGAAAGCTCAAATTAGTGTGGGTGTCATGTTCCCTATTCTTTTGCTCAGAGCCAATTTCATGCTAAATTCTCTCTCTTTTGATTCATTTTTGTGTAAAAAGGAAAAAGTTAGTAATTCCTCCATTCCAGGAGAAAAGTCTTCGTTTCTGCTCAGTCTGATAAAAGCTTACTGGGTGCAATTATGATCTGTGCTTTCCTATTTTGGGTCTACACTGTTCTTTTTATACAGCGTGGAAGGAGAGAAGATCTCATCATTCCCTTCACAGCTACCTTCAAACTGCATACAAGAACTAAACAATGCTTGAATTTCAATTGGTCTTTTTAAGTAAGATTCACAGGGAATAGGCTCAATATTCATATTTGCAGTGCTTAGAATTAGAAATATAATATGAATGTACATCAAAATTGTCCAGATTTATCAGGCTTTCTTATTACTGCATATTGAACTAGCTCTACCGCTGGGAACTCAGATCTATGTGTGTTAGCACTCGGTACTTTATTTCCCAAGTCTGCAGCTGAGAGTGGATCTTGAAATTTTACATATGAGACAAATGGCAACCCTGAGTGTCTCTTTCTTTCTACAGATGATATGGAAGCAATTCCAGTCAAGCAGTTCGTTAAACACATCAGCGAGCTGTATTCTAATAACCAGCATGGGTTCTCAGAAGACTTTGAGGTATGATTTAATGATCCTCTAGTAAAATGTTGTTTTCCTAAAGTTAATTGCGTATTAATAGTAAGGGGCTGTGTGACATCTGTGTGATGCTGTCGTGTCAGGTAAATGCAATACTCAAATGCATCAGGAGAAAGAGAGAAAGACCAATTTGCCACCAGGTATGAACAGTCTGGGACTGGATGTTTACAGAAGGCTTCTCCACGCCACAGAGCAAGAGTCTGAGGCGGGCTTCTATTACAGTTAGTGCCTTTAAGGGGAACCTTACTTAGTTTTTATTATATGCCTGCAACATGAAGATGCAAGCAGTTGTTTTCAATTCCATATTTCTCTTATAATCTGCAGCTGATTTTAGTCCTGTTGGCCCAGAATTTGTTTTTTCAAGTCGTGCTAATAAGATACTTAGCCTTTGTCCAAAAGGAGCAGAACAGTGCTCACTGTGAGAGAGAATAACAGTTTTTGGTCTTCAGTGAAAAAACCCAAACAATGGCTGTTCCTTCTGTTTGCACTATCGGTTCCTGGAGTCCTTCCTCCATTGCTATTGGAGCAATTGGTTATTTTGTTCCAGTAAAAGATTAAGGCTTGTTTGTGAGTGTTCACTTAATGTTAACTATTTTAAAATTTGCATCTTACTAGCTTTTTAGAACAGATTCTGACCTATAAATATGCTATAAATTGGAAGTAATTCCAAAGAAATGAAAGCAATTTGCACTGACTGGGTTACCAAACCCATACTGCCAAAATATGGTAAACATCACATAGCATGAGGATGGACTGCAGTCGCATGCTAAGAATTCAGTATTCTCTGCCTAGTTTTTAGACATGTCTTGCATTCAGTCTAATCACAATCACAGCTGAACTTTGAGAAGTGTAGAGAAATAGGAGGAGCCCCAGGAAATTGCATTGGAGCTGTGGATACTGGCTTCCCCATCAGCAAAAAGAGGTGTGTTCGTGCAAAGCATGTGAACTACACAGGCAGCTCTGCTTACAAACAAGGCAATGAAACAAAATAGGTGGCCTAATATCTACAGCTTCTTTACTTACTGCAATAAAGACAAGACTGTATGTGGGAATTGTTTTTAATGGGATCATTTAAAACATTTATCGTTGCTGTTTGTTTACTGTCTATAAAGAGTGGCTGCTTTGTATGATGCCCAAAAACCATTGTGCAAGTTAGAAACATTTTGTATTCATGAGGAAGGCAAATGTGTAAGGTGTTAAAGTGATTTAGTTCAATTGACTGCTGGCTGGATGGCTGAGCAGGAATATTGAGGCATTTAACAATGTTGATGGTATTCAGGACAAACATTTATTCTCCAGAGAGTAGAATTTGATCAGGGTGATCAAATGCAACTCACTCTTCTCAATTATTTATGAATTGCGACCCCAGTGCTATTCATCACAGCTGGGTTTTACACCATTTAATTATTCAAAATAATCACCATCACATTTGTAAACTTGGTCTGGCTTTAAGCTGGCTTTGCTTCAGCTGTCACAAAATCACTGCTATTAACAAATGTTGGACACCTTACGTCCATGTTTTAGGGAAGGAAAACACTGCTCTAATAGCCCTATTTCTCCCTTTCTCCCAGAGCCCCCGGCTGCGGGTGCCACACCATAGCTGCCAGTCAGGAGACATGGCTGGAGCCAATTAGTCCTGTTCCTGGGAGCGCAGGGTCCCCTCAGCAGGAACTTAAACTCTCCAGCTGCACTGCACACGAATTCTGTTCTCCCCACTGGCTCAAAATTTAGATAACCTCCTTTGAAGTCAGCATAGCTGCATCAGTTGTGTGTTCTGTGTCGCTGTGGTCTCTGCCTCCTAAAGACTAAACAAAATCTTCTACAGTGAAGAGAGGGAGCAGGAACAAGAAGGTCACTGGTTGGGATCAACCTCCCAGCTCCCTTTCATTGCTTATGTTCTGCCCTGTGGACACCCCGGGGGCCTCATTTTCTGCCTTACAGTTCACAGAGATGGGATGGAAGAGTGAAGCCAGAATTGTTCACAGACCCTGTGGGTGAAATGATGCCTGCTTTTTGGTGTGAATCTCTGCCTGTGTTTTTGGCAGCTGTGTGTTGTGTGCAGTTCATTTTTAAATGAAGAAGGTGCCTGTGAAAGTGAATTTTATGAATGCTACCTCCGTCCTCTTAAAATGAGTGTAATTACAGCAAGATCTTTCCTGAATGTGCTTAGGAAGCGTTTCATGTGCAGAGGAAAAAAGGACTGGGAACTCACAAATCCTGTGATGGAAAGTACATCCAAACTGATTCCTTATTCCCTGTGGGTAACTGCAGTGCAGGTACCCAGCTTTCTTGTCTGGTGATAGCTGGGCTTTCCTCTATGTACAGAACTGCTGAGATTTCCTTTGAGTCCCATGAATTTTCAGTTTTTGATATAAGCTAGACATCACCCAATTTGATATTGAGCAACGTTAACTTTCTGAACTCAAGTCCACACTCATGCATTATCAGTGCTGGTTTCTGATGTAACTCTTTGTATTTCAGCTTGGGATTTGTTTGACTTAAAGCTGAGAAAAGCTCAAGGAACTTTTTTGGCTTGTTCCCAGGCAGCACCAGCCCTTTTTGCCGTGGCATATGGGGTGAGATGCCATGTTTTCACTGGGCAGCACTGGGGCAGGGTTTGGTGCCTCTTTCCCTGTGTGCACTGGAACAAGACTGAGGAGAGACTGAGAGGTGTAGCCAGGAATTTTCTTGGCATTGCTATTTAATAGACGTTTACAGACTTTTCTTCCATAAATTTCTGGCTGCTTCTCAAACCCTGGTAGACTCTTAGTACCTAAAAGCTCTAATGCCCAGCTTCCCACAGCAGTGAATTCTATAATTTGTTTCTCTAGAAAGGATTTCCTTTTGTTTTAACTCATGCCTGATAACACCTCTGTGTCTCCTGGTTTTTGCATTACAAAGTACATCCTTTTTCATTTAAACGCTTCGTATGATTCTCTGTGCTTCTGTGTATGATATTATCCCTTCCTTAATCAACATTTTTGAAATCTGAAGTATTTGATCTGTTGTTTGAGGAAGCCATTGTACACTTAGGGTGACACCTTTTTTCTTCCTTTGCCTTATCCTTTCTGAGGTGGGGAGACCGAAACTGTGCACAGCGTGTAATGAGTGGATTTACTGCAGAGTTCTGCAGGAGCACAGTGATGTTTTCTCTTTGGTTTTCTATTACTTTCATCCTTCCTAACATACTATTTGTTTTTTAACAACTATTGAGCACTCAGCTGACACCTCTAGAAAACTATCAGCTGTGACCCCAAGGTCTCGTCACTGAATGGCAATAGCAAATTGAGAAGCTGTCAGTGTGTATATATAGTTAGGGTTGTTTTTCTCAAGTACATCACTTTGCATTTATCAACATTGAATTTCATTTGCCATTTTATCATTCAGCCACTTCATACTGGGAGATCATTCTGCTTCCCTTGGCAAACAGCTTTTTTTTTTTTTTTTTTTTTTAAATTATCCTGAGTAATTTTGTATTATAAACACACTTTGTCTCCTTTGCAGTCCATTTATGAATAGATTAGGTCCCCACGATGTCCCACTGGAGAAATGTGAACACTGACAATTCCCACGTGGTAAATACCTGTTCATATGCAAAAGGAATTTTCCTTTTGCTTCTCAACAGATCAGTTTTTTGAGTAATGTTTTCTGAGAGGCCTTTTCAAAAACATTTCAGAAATCCATATATGTGACTCTCTTCTAGACTGTCCTTGCCTATGGGCTTCCTCAGGGACCTCTCCACGGTGTGTTAGAGGCACTCACTAACTCTGCTATTTATTATAGTGTCTAGCAGTTTTCCCCATAGACCAGTCAGACTTAGTGGGCTGTAGTGCCTGAAATCCCTTCTGATTCTCTTTTGCAAAACTGGTGTCACATTCGCCATCTTCTGTCCCCCTGATACTCAGTCTGATTACGTAGGGCCTGTGCCCTCCAAATTCTTGTATCAGAAAGAGTGTGAAGTGCCACCTCCCACTGTAAAGCTTTTCACTCCCTCCTCCTGGCCTGTTTCTGGAAGAGCACAGTAATTTCTTCTCATAGTCATGTCCTTTTGCTCTGAGATTGGAGCATTAGGCCAAGAAATCACCCTCCATCCCCAAAGCTAACTGTGAATTTGTGTATTATAATGTCCTATTTGGATTTCTGAGATCCGATGATTTTATTTACCTCCCCCCAAATTCTGAGGGGGTCGGTCAGCACTGCTGCAGGAGCGATTAGAGCTGGTGAGTGCCGTCTCTGCAGACCTCTCTCCTGCCTGTGGCTGTCCGAGTGCAGTGAATCATTGCCAATTTGGAGTCTGAACAGGCTCGCTGAACTCGGAGGCAGGCTGTCTAGCTCCCTCATCACATAAATTGAAAATATCTTTATTCTCCAGCGGCACCTTCTTCTAAACGTCTCAAAGAGTAAGAAAATAACGAATCCATATCTTCAGTGATGGGGCAGGGATTTGCTGGCGTTATTCTCATGGTTGTTGCGACTCGGGGCAGGGGTCACAAGCTCTCTTTAACCAGCGACCTCGGAATGTTATTCTCTTGTGAAGGGCTGCATTGAAGACTGAGATAATGCTGTGCTTTGCACATTTCTTGAGACACTAAAAATACTGTGTAGTTATACTGGCGTCCTTTACAGATTAGACACAGCGTACACCAGACCCATACTTATTACAGTATCTACACCAAGGAATTTGGCACTAGAAAGATGCCATTTCAAAAGCGTGCTGCTAGCAAACATTGCTGCAGTGGGAAATGTTTTAGAAACCTGACCTAAAACTGCCATAATTAAAGGTATTCTCAGGCTGTGCATTGCTGCAGTGAAAGCAAAGGGAAGCAGCACTGTGCAGCTGGAGGATGAAGGATCCCTGCAGAGGAGGGCCTTCCTGGAGTCTAGCTTACTGTCAGACCAACAAGGTGGCATGAATTAAGAGATAAAGTTGAAGAGAAACAGCAAAAGAAATTCAGATACCGTACAATCATTTAGGTTGAAAAAGACCCTTAAGATCATCAAGTCCAACCATCAACCTGACCTACCATTCACATCACCAAGTCCCTTAGTGCCACATCCACATAGTTCTTAAATACCTCCTGGCTGGCTGTCACTAATGATATTCTCAAAAGTCTGTGCCTAGAAGCCCCGCTCAGAGGAACCATAGCTGCACATGAGGAGTGCGAGATTTTGGTCGTATTCCCACCTCCATACACACCGAAGGGCAGGATGCAGTGAGCAGATGCTCCACCATCCGCTGCTCTCACATCTGCAGGCAGCACTGGGTATACAGCCCAGCAGCATGCACGCCTCATCAGTGGTCCCAACTTGCTCACACTTGCATCAATTTTTAACTCTTTATTCAGGATTCCTCCACTGTTATCCCTGTGTTCAGTCCTTTTGGTTTATTTGTTTTCCCCTTCTGTCTAGGCTGTCCCCAGCTCACCTCTCTCTTTAAGTGCCATCAGAGAGTTTCTACTAGTGCTAAATTATTGCAAAAATCTACACTGCTCCTGTGGGAGATCTTCAGATGCTATTTGCTGTCTCTATTGGTGTGCCATGTTTGCTGTGATAAAAGAAACAGCAAGAGCACTACCAGAGAACTCTCTAATTTGGGATTAAAATAATACATCAAAAATGATCTTAAAGGCGAGTGAACGAACTGCTTTGGTACTGAAAAATACCACAATTATATCAAAACGGAGCGATGGATCTTCTCTAATTTAGCCCTTCAGATTAGGATCCTTCCTTTGTTCATGACTCCTGCTCATTGCTATTCATAGGCTTTTACAGTTCAGCTCCTCCTAGGACATCTCCTTAATGAACTAATGGGAAACAACAGCAGCACTGCATAAGGCCAAATCAAGAGACCGAGTTCCTGCTCAGTCACTGTAGCAAAAATTCCTGCTCAGAGCCTTGTATTGCCAGCAAGATGCTGGAGCTGTTTGATTTTACACTTAAATGGAAATTCTTTGAAGTTTAGGAGAAACTAATCTTTAACTTGTTTCAGAAAGGCAATGAAAATGGGTCGTTAAACCTGGGTGTATCAAATTCCAATTAGCATTAGCATGGACAATATAATTAAAAGCTAAATTAGCCATAATAGCGTAGACTAGAACACTTTTTACAGTAACTAACAGTCAACTGAAACGATGCACTTGGTTTCTTGGGTTGTCAATGATAAGTTGAAAGGACAGAATGAGATCTTTTATCCATTTATCTTTGGACAGTAATGTGTTCTGCAGAGTTAAACACGAGGAGCAGCAGCACACCTTTACAATCACTAGAAGAGACCAAGCAGCATTGAGGAAACTGAAGAAAAGAGCCCAGAGCTGAAAAGTTCCTTTGATATGAGATGGTGAATAATGCACGTAGTGATAGGGGCAGTGTTCTGCTCTGAGGTGCTAAAAGCAGTTAAGTGCTAATTGCAGAGTTTGTTAAGGCTGCAGTGAGCAGCCTGGGATCAGACCTGACCTGGCCGTTTGCCTGCAAACTTAGGCTGTACCAGTGATCCAACGTGGGGATGCCTCACATGCAGATGAATGACTTGCCAGCCAGCAGGAAGCTGGAGGATGTCGTCTGTCCTCTGGCCCCTTGTCGGCCAGCTGCAGTGCCCCAGTGCCTTCTTTGCTTTGTGGACTGGAGCAGGCAGGCTGAGCCTGAAATGGCCTTTTATTGTTCTACACTGATGTTACAAAAGACAAGGGAAAAGGAAAAAGGAGGCGCATTGGCAAGGGGAGGCTTTTCTTGAACGGCCTCCTTTTGCTGTTCTTCTGCAGGGTGCAGGGTAGGAATCCACCATTGTAGCAGTTTGCAGGAGTATTAAAATTCATTTAAAACGTTCAGTGTTAAGAAAAGGCATTTTCAGAGGATCAGCTCTCACAGCATAAGACCTTCTTTTCCACTGCTGTGTTTTTCACCATCTTCCCTTAATCTTCCTCTTCTATTAACTTTGTATTGGCCAGCTGGGAACACGTACAGCTGAGAAAACAGTCGGCATCAACATAAAAAGGTTAATTAAAGTGATTAACCTTACCAACAATTCCCTTATGGAAGAATCCTATAGAATTTAATAGAAAGGGATGCATTTACTATGTAGTATTTAAACTGTCAGAGAAAATTCCTTAGCAGGGATGTAATTCCCTATTAAATTCTCTAACTTTTGAGAGTATTCTCCACAGAACCTTACTGGATTCATCTGCACTGCATGTGGCATAAATATTTCAACGCTAATAACGTCTAAAGAGAGTTTTGTAGCGATATGTGTTTGAAGTCAGGCTTTTCAGAAATGGAGGAGCATTTTTTAGGGGTGACCTCGAGCAGCACAGCAAGGATGTTACATGATTTCAACATGTAGAAAAATAAATAAATAGAAGGTAAAAGAAAGTGTCATTAAATGAAAGCAAGAGGGAAGTGATGCTGCTTTGCCATTTGTGAGTGAGGCTGCACTGATCCTGCCTGGTGTATAAGCAGAAGTCACCTGTTTACTGGAGCTGACAAACAGCATCAGGGGAAGCACACACTGTAGTGTGGGTTTTCTTCTGTGCTAGAAATGGAACTATGAAAATTCTATTAGGACCAGCTGAGAGTTTTGCCTGATTCTTCTTTGTCTTTGCTCAGCTCATCTCCTTGAATGTGAATGTAGTGTATTTCTCCCTGTGGAGAAAAAAGCGATTGTTATTTGGGAGTGTCGTGTGGCCATAAAAGCTGTAAAATGCTCAAGGTTTTAGTATACTTGGCACTTTCAAAATGTAAATGTTGAGGAAGATATGAAAACTGCAGTGCATCTCCTTTGTGAAACGTCTGCATAGTGCTGAACTCTGATACATCTGCTGTTTGTATAGCATTTCTCTTGATAATTTTTCTCTGTCACTTAGCTTGTGCTCTTTGTAGCAGCTGTGAGCTCCTAATGACTTTCTCTCTTAGGCAGGTTCTATGCTGTTGTTTTTAAAGCCCATAGTACAGAGCAATTCGGTGCTTCCCCATCCATCCTTGGGGAAATGGATTCTATTTGGCGAGATTTCTGGGACTTGGCAGTGATTTGAATAACTAGCTTCTTCCACCATTTTGTTAATTCCAAACATTGATATGTTTTTCAAAAATGTGTTTTAAAACTGCAAATATTTAAGCTAATGATGAAAAGGGGGTTTGCTTTGTCAGGAAGGTTGTAAAAGAAGAAAATCTGACTCAGAAGTGGTATAATATTTGAGTTGGAGGATTGCAGTGATTTGGTTTGCAGGGCAGTCCTGATGGGTGTAACTGTAGGGCAGCCTGGCCGAGGGAAATAGCTGCTCTTCTGAAAGGGCAAAGAACCGATGGTGCACTGCCCCATTTCAGTAGCTCTGCCTTCTGCTCTTCAGTGAGGTGAGGAAGGATCAGGTGAAGAGCTGGAAAGTCAATTGGAATTAGGTATCTGACCTAACTAGGCTGCTGTCTGCATTTCTAGCTTCATGAGCACTTTGCAAGCCCAAATGCGTCCCGCTTTGTAAATGACTGAATAGACGTAGCTCCAGAATATATACGTGGATACAACCTTTTATCTTTTTCACTGTATTGTTGGCTGTTAATCACTGTCCAAGCAGTGGTATTTAAAGCACTAGCTGCTACCTTCAGCAATCTATTTTATTTATACTTTATAAAAGGCATCTCTTCAGAGAACTAGCAAAAGGTCAATGCCAAACTGAAATGTCAGAAACCCTGTTTGGAGAGGTTATAAGCAAATAAGTTATCCTGCAGTCAAAAGTCTTCTGTTGAAATGGTTTTGATGTTTAATTTCGTAGCCTACACTGGGGCCGTTCCTGCCTTTGAAAGCACTCTGTCTGCTGAAGAGGGGAGAGAGTGGGGCATCAGGAGATGCAGTCCAGAAGATGGATGGACTGCTGGTCAGAGGGGCACAGTAGACTACTGCAGTGCCCAGACTGCATCTGTCACAGGTCTGTGGAGAGAAGGACATCAGGGAGCAGCGAATGCCTTCTTAGTTTAAGCAGACCATGTCCTACAGCACAATACTGAATGACTGTGTTTAATCCAGCGAGTAAGATATTGGTACTTTAAACATGGTTTCTGTGAGCTGTTGCAGAAGGAGATAAAACTTCATTCTTTGTGCTGACACATTTTCTGTTTGAATAATTTTATGCCTAGGAAGTGCAGCGCTGTACGGCCGACATGAACATCACTGCAGAGCACTCCAACCACCCTGACAACAAGCACAAGAACAGATACATCAACATCCTAGCGTGTAAGTAAGCACAACTGCAAGCATGTTTAATCAGCCAGGAAAGGCACTCTCACAACGTGTCTGTGTGGTCTGAAGTTGTATTGTTCCACAACAACTAATAAATATGTGGAATTGCAGCTGGGAGGGCATTTTCCTTCTAAAGGCAGTGGACATTCTTGCTTCTCTGAGGCTACAATTTCACTCCAGCTTTTGTTTTAAAGTATTTTGCAGTTTGATGGTCCAAGTGTAGGTTTAGAAGTTATCAGTTTACTATGAAACTTTGTGGAGGAATAACTGGGATAAATTGATGATCAGAGCTCTTCTGCTTGCAAACATCTGAAAACTGGCCTAAGGGAAGTGCATGGTGGAGCAGCGAGTTTTACTGATGATCCCTGGGATTCCTTTGTATTCCCAAAGATGCTAAATCTTACAGAGTACATCTGCTGTATTTCAACCTGCTTCAACTGTGTGTATGACTTGGACAAGCGGTGATCTTTGTAGCACAGTGCTGGCTTTGCCTGTATTCCTCTGAGAACTGCAAATCTGGACACAGCTCTGGAGTGCAGATTTGTACAGGGCTGGAGTGTAAATGCGGTAACTTTTCTCAGATGTGGAACAAATGGCAGATGCAGCAGTTACTGTGGTTTAGGAATGAAAATGGAGAGCAACGACATTAAGTTCCTGTGTTTATAAATGTTGCAGTAAATCTTGAATGTTTTTCATGGCATAGGGATTAAATGGGTGTATCCCATGCTTAGAATCAGTCGAGGTACAGGCTGAGCACCAGTAGCACTCTCGCTGCGTGTCCTTGTGCAAGGAGATCCTTTGCAATTGTCCCAGCTGTGATTTTAGACAGAGGGGTCTGGTCCCTCTAAGCACTGAGAGAAGCACCCTTAGAGAACTGAAGCAGGAACTTCAGTACTACAGATGGCACCAGGAGAAACCTCTTTCTCCATTCATATGTTGGAAGGCAAATAAAGCCGATGTTTCCTTCTTGAAGTTAGCCTATGTCTCATTTCTGCATGTGTTGGAAGCACCTCCCAGCCCCACACTGCTGCTCAAAAACAGAAGGGCTGCCATTTTTTTTCTGATTTAAGCAAGAAGCCAGGTATTGGAGTGCAAGAAGAACAAGAGCTAAAGAGTGCAACAGCGTGATCCAAAGTCTGTCTTCTCAGTGTGTTGAGGGTGGTGAAGGAGTGGGGACATTTGCTCTGCTCCTTGAGCCAGCAGAGCTGAGTGACTGCTACCATGATCAGATGGCCGAGAACAGTCACATTCCACTTCAATCCAAAGCCAGTTGCTTCAAGGAATTAATAAGGGCTACTCCAATACATGGGAATTAGGATGTTTTCTTGCAATTCTGCATCATATTTCCTTAATGCTTCTTGTTCTGTTCTTTGTCCTGCAGATGATCACAGTAGGGTGAAGCTGAGGCCTTTACCAGGAAAAGATTCTAAGCACAGTGACTACATTAATGCTAATTACGTTGATGTAAGTTATTTGAATTATTTTTTCTTCTCTAAATCCTTCCCCAGCGAGGAAGCATTGCTACTCGTGAAATGTTCATGTTTTCCAGCTTCACGTAAGAGTTTTGCTACAAATTCCTCGCTATTCTGAATGAGAAAGGCACCTTTCTTTGTTACCTTTAAATTATTAATTTCTCTGCCATGATACTGCTTTCATCTCACTTAGCATTATGGTTTTCTTTGAAGGGTTACAACAAAGCAAAAGCCTACATTGCTACCCAGGGACCTTTAAAGTCTACCTTTGAAGATTTCTGGAGGATGATTTGGGAACAAAATACTGGAATCATTGTCATGATCACAAACCTTGTTGAAAAAGGAAGAGTAAGAGATTTTCTAGTTTGTTAGCAAATACTCCTTACCATCTCTCCAAATCACGTGGGCAGAATTTGTTTTAAATGGTCTGGGATGATACATGCTGATGTCTAAAATGTACCTAAATAACTGAGGGTTACATAGCTAGCCATGATTTTACTTTTTAAAAAAGCTCTAACCACAAATACAAAGAAGCAGCTCAAACCTTCAGCCAACCCATCCAACTATGTCTTTGTTCAGAGAAAATGCGATCAGTACTGGCCGTCAGAGAATAGCGAGGAGTATGGCAACATAATAGTCACGCTGAAGAGCACAAACATTCATGCCTGCTACACTGTGCGCCGCTTCACGGTCAGGAACACAAAGATGAAAAAGGTGGGTGAAGCCTTCACTGTTCTCATCCAGATGCCTTCTAGCTTGTGCGGGATGCAAGCCACACAGGAGCAAAATTCAGCTGTTGTGTAGGCAACTTGAAGCAGCAGTGAATGGGAAATGAATAAGCAAAAATAGGATTACAAGGAATCTGGTGATAGGTTTAACCTGTATTTCTTTCTCTCGAGTTTGTTACCACCTTGGTATCAGAGCTGCTGCTGTCATTACCTATTCCTGTACATCTTTTCCTTGCACTGTGTCTCCACCAAACAAAAGCAGAGCTGCAGGAGATTCTTTTTGTCATAGTCCAACACATTTTCATCTGGGCAAGCTAATAGGACCAAATGGAGGAATGGAAGTAAAACCGAAGGATTCTTTGCTTCTCTTTCCTGATCTTTCTCTTCTTTCTGCTTACAATTTGCATGCAGGGTCAGAAAGGAAACCCAAAAGGGCGCCAGAACGAGAGAACGGTTATTCAGTATCACTACACTCAGTGGCCTGACATGGGTGTGCCAGAGTATGCCCTTCCTGTGCTGACCTTCGTTAGGAGATCATCTGCAGCCAGAACCCCGGACATGGGACCAGTGGTTGTGCACTGCAGGTATGAAGGATCACAGAATCATAGAATGGCTGGGGTTGGAAGGGCCCTCAGAGATCATTGAATTCCAACCTGATGCCGTGGGCTGGTCGCCAGCCACCAGCTCAGGCTGTACAGGGCCCCTTCCAGCCTGGACTCCACTTCCAGGGATGGGGCACGCATGGCTCTCTGGGCAGCCTGTTCAAGCACCTCATCAACCTCTCAGTGAAAAATTGCCCCATGATATCTGATTTAAATAGATGTGATCAAATGCTTGATGGTCAATATACCTATTTTGCAGTGTGTGCTCTTTTAAATGCCTGTGAAGGCAAGCACTGTACATTATTAAGACAGCAGTGTGCCTGCCCTATGGATGCAGGGAGATGTGAGTTGGCTTAGCCTACATTTGAAGCGTGCTCTAATCAAAAAATCCTAGTTGCATTAGCAGCATGATGCTGAGCTGCTGAGCATTGCACTGATGAGGCTGTGCAATTCCTGGTTCTGAAGCCTGATTTCCTGCCCATTCAGCACACGGGGAGGGCAGGATCACCTCCACTGGCAACCAGAAAGTTCCTAGAAAACTAAAGTATTTTGTTCAGGAATTTTCATGATTGAGGCTAGCAGTGAACTGAAAGTCTAGGAATAGGTGCATTTGTTTAGTTCTGTTCTGCTGTTGTGTTTAGTGTGGCTTGGCTGTATTACATGGGTTTCTCTTACGTTTTTTGTAGTGCTGGTGTTGGCAGAACTGGAACCTACATTGTGATTGACAGTATGCTGCAACAGATAAAAGACAAAAGCACAGTTAATGTCCTGGGTTTCCTGAAACATATCAGGACACAGCGCAACTACCTCGTCCAGACAGAGGTAAAGATTGCAGTGGGGCTCAGTGTATGGCCATATTCATTTTTATGTTGCAGTCAAAGAGCAAATAGATTTTTCAGTTACATCCCTGTAAGTATTGAATATATCACCAGATATTTGTTGCACTGAAATGCCTCTCTTTTTCTAGACCAGAAATTTCAGATTTTGCTTATGACTTTTTCAGAGCTGTGTGTGTTAACACTTGTGAATGTTTTTTTTTTATTTGGCCATATTTGCACGTGTGGGTTATTTTGCATACCCTCCTTTGGTGCTCTACCCCTCAGTTAAAGCCAGCCATTTAGTTTATTCCAAGCGCTTACCTGACATGCTTTGTTTATCTAGGAGCAGTACATTTTTATTCATGATGCCTTGTTGGAAGCCATCCTTGGGAAGGAGACTGAAGTATCTGCAAACCAGCTGCATAGTTATGTTAACAGCATCCTCATACCTGGCATAGGAGGGAAGACACGATTAGAAAAACAATTCAAGGTAAGGCTTATCACTCCCATCCAGAGGGACCTAATTTCTCCACTTTGTGTTGCTTGGTATGCCTTCCCTGTTTGTTGTCATAGATAATGAACCTAACCAGAACACTTCATTAGCACAGCAGAGCATCTTGGGAAGTTCAGGGCACAACAAGTCAGCCATGCTTCTGGGAATCAGCACTAATGCTCTTGAAGTCAAAGGTGCAAAGAGGAACACGAGCATTGCTTTGAAGCGTGCTGCTGATAGTCTCCCCATTTTGAAGGAGCTGAGTGTTCCTGGGCCTGTGGGTAGTTTGGCTGGAGGTCTTACTCAAAACAGTGATTCTTGTGCATATATATATGGAGAAAGAAATGAGATGAGGTTCTTAGTGCAACTCACTATTTCCGTGATGTAGATAAATAATTTAAAATGTTTTAACATCAAGAAACACAACATGCCTTTCCATTGCTAATAGCTGTGCTTGCTGCTTTTCCCTACTGTATTATAGCTGCATTCATCGTGGCCAAAGTAAAATTATTTGCTTGGATCTGTATGAAACCTACAATTTTCTGATTGTGTTTTTTGAATGCATTTATAATTTTTTTTGTGGGACTGCATTTCATATGATCACACGTGATGTCATTTTTCACACCTAAACTCAGTTTAATAGCCACATAAGGAACTGAAGCTGTTAAATTTTAACAGGTGAAAAGCTATTCAAAAAATGAACAAGGTGGTCTCAGAATGCACTTGTAGAAATGTCAGTACTCTCAATCAAGAAAGACATTCCAGGTGCATAATTACCACATCAAAGAAACAAGCGCAGAAGTGTGCACACACACACAGGAGAGAAAGACACTTTATTAGAAAAAAATTATTCCACTGCTATAAAAAATACCAAGTTATAAGGATGAAGATGTTTTCTTACGACTTATGGCAAAATTTGCAAATTGGAGGTGCCGTTTTCCAAAATGGCTTACTTACTCTGCTGGAGCTGCACAAGTGTTTAGAAACTCTGGAACTTCCAGTGTAACAATGCCAGTACGTAGATGAGTGAAGTGCTGTCGTGATTAGAATGGGTTTGAAACTGGGACTAAGAAAGCAGTGATTATTACGTTTTTCCCTGATTTCTGCTGCTGCCTTAGAGCTGGCAGAAAATAACTCGTGCTCATGCCTTGGTGCAGAAGTTCACTTACAACCGACTGAGAGTAAAATTACCCTGAGTAATGAGTTGCTGGTGCAAGAGATGGAAAAGCCACCTTCACCCTTCTTGCTCTGGGAGAGTTCCCCATACGCTGGGGGAATATTCAAAGACAAATCTGCCTCTCTGACTTTTCATTGTGCCTGGAATGAATTTAGCAGAGCAGATAATACAACTCTTAGCCTCAAATCTCTGCTGCTGGTGTGCTGAGTTCCCAAAAGGCCTGGCAGAAAAAAAAGGTATTCTGGAGGAATTATCTTGCTTTCATTTTGAAAGAAAACATGAAAGTTTGTGTGGTTGGTTTTTTTTTTTTTTCATAGTTTTATTTTGCTAGCTTTTGTTCCTCGAGACTTGCTTCCAACTGAACGTATCTGCAAGTCTTTGAAATATATTCTCAAAGATAACTAAACGTACTGTTCTGTGAAAATGCATTTTGATGGAACTTCATTTTCAGGATGCTTCAAAGCTAAGAGCTGTAGAGATCTTTTTAGCCATTAAACAAATTGTATGAAAAGATGATTTCCATTGGCATCTTGAGTATTTTAAACAAGTTTAACAACACAATGTATTCTTGTACTGATGCTTCTTCCTGGGAGTTGGCAAAGAAACCACCTCTCTTCAGGTAGAGTGCTGTGAGGACTGACTTGCTACTTTATTTTGTTTCAGCTGGTTACACAGTGTAATGCAAAATATGTGGAATGCTTCAGTGCTCAGAAAGACTGCAACAAAGAGAAGAACAGGAACTCATCAGTCGTGCCATGTAAGATCGCACCTTCGGTTTGATCTCCGCCTAGCATAACTTCTTGCAGTGAACACTTCCTGTGTTATGCATGAAAAGGCGTAGCCACAAGCAAGAACAAGTGTGATCTGTATAGACCAAGCTGTCCTGTCTTTGCAAAATTACTCTGAAATCATAGAATCATAGAATCATAGAATCACAAAGGTTGGAAAAGACCTAAAAGATCACCTAGTCCAACCGTTCACCCATTCCCAATAGCTCCCACTAAACCATGTCCCTCAACACAACATCCAGCCTTTCCTTGAACACCCTCAGGGTCAGTGACTCCACCACCTCCCTGGGCATCCATTCCAGTGCCTGACCACCCTTTCTGAAAAGTAATACTTCCTCATGTCCAGCCTGAATCTCCCCTGCCGTAGCTTGAAGCCATTCCCCCTGGTCCTATCACTAATGACACGAGAGAAGAGGCCGACCCCCAGCTCACTACAACCTCCCTTCAGGAAGTTATAGAGAGCAATCAGGTCCCCCCTGAGCCTCCTCTTCTCCAGGCTGAACATTCCCAGCTCCTTCAGCCTCTCCTCATATGGCCTGTGTTCCAGACCCCTCACCAGCTTTGTTGCCCTCCTTTGAACACGTTCCAGGGCCTCAATATCTTTCTTGCAGTGAGGGGCCCAAAACTGGACACAGTACTCGAGGTGCAGCCTCACTAGTGCTGAATATAGGGGAGCAATCACTAGTGCTGAATATAAGGGAAATGGAATGAAAGAAAACAGTTATGGTGTCAGTTAGGTATACTGCCCAAGTGAAACGTTAATGTGAAGTGCTTAAGAATTTGAATAATTAGGTGGAGGATAAACCTATGGAATACTGTGATAATTACTTTGATGCAGCTCTCAGCTCAGGTGAGATCTCCCAGAGTGATTGGCACAAGTGTTTTTATGATGTACTTTGTAGTACATTTGTTTTCTGTGTGCAAGCCTTCCTCAGGTTTGAGGGCCACAGTTTCACAGACGTTAATATGGAATCTGTGCACAGCTGCCTGGCAGCATGAACTTGCTAAGACCAAGCATAGTCATGATGTCATTCCCATCACGTTGCCCAGAGCACAGGGCATACAGGGTAAGCAGTGCTCAAAGTAGTGCACTGCTATAAGGGCACAGGTTTTGTTATGAAGTTTGGTAACAAAAAGAGAAATCGCCAGGATATACATGATAAACAAAGGTGAATGGACTGAAATAGACTGTATGACCTCACAGATTGTGTCCTGTCTCTGCAGTGATTTCAGTTTGGCAGTAGGAGCCTGTCAGTTGGGTTCAGGATGTTGTTGAATCCAACCCTCAAACACAGAGCAGTGCAGACCTGCTGGAGAACATTTGCTTGCTTCTGAGTTTTTGCCCTTGATGGAAGGGTTTTATCTGAAAAGGTTATCTCACCTTCCAGATGGGAGGAATGAGTGGTGGCTGTGCTATGGAGAGGTAGGGAAAGCAAAATCAGTCACCTGGGTTTTTGTGCTGCTAGAAACAAATGGAATGCTACAGTCAAAAATTACCTGAAATCCCCTGTTATCACTGCATATACTGTTATTCGGTAATTCAGCCTGCTGTGAAAATCTTTGCTATAGTAAAATTTGATTCCTAAAATTACTTTGTCCTTGTGGGAATATTGTGCAACGTTCTCTTTTATATTTTGTGTTAGCAGGCAGTGCTTTAACACGGTTAAGTGCAGGCCTGCTCCTGCAGGAGATGGGAGCTGCAGTGTTTGGTTTGTTAACGTCTGAGAAATTCCTGCTTTCTGCAATGGGCCATGATCAGACTCTGATATTCTTTTATCTTTGTCTTATAGCTGAGCGTGCTAGAGTGGGCTTGGCACCACTGCCTGGAATGAAGGGAACTGATTACATTAATGCCTCTTATATCATGGTGAGGAAGCCAACGCCTAATTACAAAGTAAAATCAATTCTGAGGTGCTAAATACCAGATGCCTGTAATTGTCTTAATTCTGTATGTAATGGCTGTGTATTAACGAATGAGATTTTAACACCTTCCCCGTAATGTAAAGCTATTAACTGTGTTTTATTAAAGATTGTTGCTTAAGAAAATTAAATACTAGATGCATTTAGATGGAATGTGTATTTTCCTGAGATACAGTCAAATAAATACTGGGATTTAGAATAAGTGAAAACAACAGGGACTTTGCTGGAAATGGCGCTACAGAAATTACAGTTTGTGCAAAAATATTGTGGAATAAAATGAAATAGGGTCATCATATGTGCCCGCAGATAAAATTAATGCTTCAGAAGTATTGAAGGCAATCAGTAATTGTGGTTTGTTTTGCTGGAAAAGGGCTACTACAGGAGTAACGAGTTCATCATAACCCAACATCCGCTGCCACATACAACTAAAGATTTCTGGAGAATGATCTGGGATCACAATGCACAGATCATCGTCATGCTGCCAGACAACCAGAGCCTGGTGAGTGAAGCACCTCCTTGCCTGTGTCATAGAGCAGTGACTTAGCTCAGCCAGCCACCAGGGTTGTAGAATCACAGAATCATTAAGGTTTGAAAAGACCACTAAGATCATCAAGTCCAACCATCAACCCATCACCACTGTGCCCACTAAACCACGTCACTAAGTGCAGCATCTACCACCTTCTTGAGCACCTCCAGGGATGGTGACTTCCCAGCTCCCTGGGCAGCCTGTTCAGTACTCTTTATAAGAAGACATTTTTCTTCACATCCAACTTGAGCCTCCCCTGGGTCACTTCATTGCATGCTGTAGCTATACTTTCCGTTGAAAGCAAAGCCAGTTTGCAAGTCACCTCCTCAAACTTTGTCCTAAGCTTGTTACAAAAGACTAGGGCAAGGGCTTTGAGAAGAGCAGAAATACAAAGCAAAGACATGAGAAAAGTTGCTTGTTTCCAGGAGTCGAAGGCCATGAGGACTTAAGGCTATGAAAGGTTATAGAAGTTATTTTAATGTCAGCAAAAGTGAACGTGTATGTTAATTTGTGAGACAGAGAGAGAGAAACAGGTGACACAAGTGAAGTGCTAATCAGTGCTTCCACGTTTACTAACATGTCTCAAGAGGACACTGCAAATAATGAAGAATTAAAAGGTTTGGGTTTTTTCATACATACATCACTGAGGTGAACAGACAATTGTAGCTGAGAGTGGTAGAGAAACCACCTCTGTTACAGCTGAAAAATAGCAGTCATGAGAGGCAGCAGTATAAATATTATACTCAATACTTAAATATGATATCATTAAACTGAAGAGGCAGCATTCTATATGCTTCCCATGTGCAGTGCAACTGCAGGGCAAAGAGCATTCAGTGAAATGTGATTGAATCAGAAAGTACTAATGAAACAGAGAGTATCAGGTAGAAATGAAGAGGTTGATCTTGTCTTTAAAAGTCTGTAGACTGGCTCTGCAGAGCACTGGACTCAGCTGTATTGCTTACAAGGATGCCTGGTGCCAGCTTTCATCTTTGGTGAGCCCAGAACGGAGGCTGTCTACAGGGCAGTAGTGTCTGTGCTTTGGTTCATTGTTTGGCTTGTGACGTTGGCTGCCAGGAAGGGGTGGGATGGGACCAAGGCAGTATTTTCCCCTACCCTTAAAAATTCTACCCCTACATGAAGTGTCTTGTCTGTCTTCCACCTAGATCTGATCCAAAGACCTTCCACTGACATCCTTGAGTTTTGGCTTAGACCACAATAGATACAAATTCAAAATAGTAAGCAATTAATTGTAAAGGTCAATGAGTTTTATCTAAACAAGTGTCTAACTTTTATGAAAAACTGTGTAGGCAGGAGGTAATATAACACAAAGGTTAAGTGGAAGCGAGGTAAGAGAACCATTTCCCCATGAAACCAATTAAAAAGCAAGTGTTACCTGTTTGGACTCACAAAAGAGGGGCCTGGCAAGCTTAATGACTTCTAGTAGACTAATAGTGAGTTGGTTTTAGACAAAAATATCTTTTAAGTGTCAGCTCTTTATCATCTCTATGTATCAAACCAGTTTTTTGATCTGCTGGATTTTTCAGTTGCACACAAGATATCTGGAAGTCTGCAGTAGTGTTTTTCCTTTCTTCCAGGCAGAAGATGAGTTTGTGTACTGGCCAAGTCGTGAGGAATCTATGAACTGTGAGGCCTTTACTGTGACCCTTATCAGCAAAGACAGACTGTGCCTCTCTAACGAAGAGCAAATTATCATCCATGACTTTATCCTTGAAGCTACCCAGGTAAAATAAACCTCCAATTTTGGGTCTTGGCTTTTCTCCAAAATGCTAGTCATGTCATTTAAATAGGGCAGAAGAAAAGTTCCCTAGCAGTATTGAAAGCTGCGTACTTGTAAATGCACGTGCATGCCTGTTGCTCACAGGGGAAAGTTGTTCTCATTGACTCCTCCCTCCCACATCTTCTACTTCCAGGTGGATCCCTTTAGCTCGCAAGGCTGTAGTATTTAGTGTTTGACACATTTGAAAGTGAAAACATCATTTGTCATTCAGTAATTACAAAAGTAGATTGAATTATTCTTTGTAAAGTACACCAAGGTCCTGTTTCTGCTTATAAAATTCACAGTGTAATTGTGTGGGGCGTTAATTACTGGGGATTATTTATCAAGTACATTTATTTTGAGTTGAAAGTCTGCCTCTACTTTGGTTTCAGAATTGCAGCTAGATTTTGCTGCACAACATTGGTTTGGCAAACCCTTTTAAATTTAAATTCCCTGGTTGGTTTCCTCTTGTTTGAATTTTGACCTGTGAACTCAGAGGGAAGCCATGAAATAAAGAACAAAATCTTTATCAATTAAAATTGCATTATTTTAGGATGTTCAGCAGTACAGAGATGCTACAGTTATGTATCTTCTCTCTTCTTATATACACAGTTTGGAAGAAGATTCCTTCTCAGTGTGTAGAGAGGCTCTTTCTTCTTTCATTCTTTCATCGTGGAGTGGGTAAATGTGAAACTGAGGCAGCTAATGCTGGGGCTGATCTTTTCATTTCAGGATGATTACGTTCTGGAAGTCCGCCACTTTCAGTGTCCTAAATGGCCAAACCCAGATGCTCCCATAAGCAGTACCTTTGAACTTATCAATGTAATTAAGGAAGAGGCCTTAACGAGGGATGGCCCCACCATAGTTCATGATGAGTATGTCATCTCTTTTCTCTCATTTATGTGAACAATATGCAGAGTTACTGAAGAGTGCTTGTTAGGATTGATGTCTATTCTTGCATGGAATGGATGGGGTTTTGTGTCTGAGGAGCAGGATCAGGGTATTTACATTTCCAGGAATGAGGTTTCAGTTGGCACTGAGGCCAAATACATTTTGTTTGTTGTAATTTTTGTGTTGGCTGTTGTCTTGGGTGGACTTAGAAAGCGTGTTTGCTTTGTATGCAGTTTGCATACTTCTGTACATAGAAGTGTCCCAGACAAATTCTACAGCAGGTTTCAGAACCCAGCGGAGCCCAGGTTCAGATAAAGTCCTTGTGCCCAGTAGAGGCTTATGGAAACCAATTTCAAAGCAGACCTGAGCTCATGTCTGACAACTCGGGTTTAACATGCAGGTAAGACACAGAACAGGCTCAGCTTGGCTGTGTCTCGGGATGAGCAGCAGTATCTTGCCACAAGGATTTTAAAGTTTTCTGAGAGCAATTTTCTTTCTCTTCTTTCTTCTTTCCCAAAACATCCCTAGGGGCCATATGGTGCCAAGTGGGAGGGAGCCCGTTAACACAGGGCCAGCATGTCCCAACACTTGTCTCTTTTGTAGTGTAATGGTAAGCATTGTCTTGCCAGCTATGCTTGAATGCCCAGTTGTAAAAGATGCTAAATACTGCGGTGCATATTATTGATTTGCATTCATTATGGAGCTGCAAAATACTGTTGCTGTGAAGCCAGAGCCGGAGTCTAACAGGACTGTCTTTGGAAGAAGCTGTTTCGTGGTGGGCAGAGTGCTTTCAGGCTTTTTTTTTAACTCTGCCATCAAAATCCCAAGGCAGCCCAATTTCTGACACCGCTTGGGTTCTCCTTTGAGCGGACAAAAAGGCAGCGTAAATGACTGCTAGCCCTCAAGCCCCTGCCCTGGGGTCTGTCAGCCCTTTTGCCATTGCTACCAGACAGACAGAGTTAGTGGAAGTCTTAGAAATCTTTGCCTTTTGTGTAACAGTGTTACTGGTGCACTCTGCCATTCCCGTGTTGGGATCAGCTTTGTGTGGTTGCGTGCTCCGACCTGCTGCTGCTGCAAGAGCTCTCCCTTCATATCAGAGTTCTTCCCAAAAGGTTCCTGCAAATGGTGCCTTGGGCTGAAGGAAGTAGTTTTCCTCCCAGTTTCCTGCCTTGCTGCCACTTGGTGTGAGCTCTGCTGGCTTTTGCCGGCACTTATTAATTCCAGGCTAGTTTTAATATTCATGCTTTGGGTAGTTTGAAGTGAGGTTTTGCTGCTCTTGCAGTACTTAAGATTATGTTTTACAAAATTAGAACCATTATTGATTTGGGTATTCATATTAGACCTAAAGAAAAAAATCAGAATCTCATTTCTAGCAGTGCTGAGTCATTCTTTCTGTAAATTGCTTTTTTGGTTTATTTGTCATATTCAATGATTTTATTTTTATGCCTAATACATAATTTGGATCCTGCTTTTCACTGGAGCCAAAGCAAATGTAGCTGAAAATGAAAATTTCCCTTTACTACATGCAGCTACTATATCACATAATCCACTAATAATTACAACTGCGGATTAATTCCAAATATATGAATTTTCAGATGCTAAATGCACGTGGTATTTAGGAAGTACACGGTGGGATGAACTTGATAACAACATTTCAAAGTAGTTCTAAAATTCCAACTGGAGACTGCTGCCAAGAACGTTAAATGTAACTGCCCATGTGCAAGCAACTACATGAAGTCTGAAAGTTGCATAACTTTCAGAGCGTTGAGCATTCGGCTTGCTGGGAGGTGGTGGCAAAGAACCCCAGTGGAAATGAGGCCGTTAGGCCCAAGAGGCATTTTGTTGTGTTCCACCCATGGCACGCACAAAGGCCCCTGTGCCCAGTGTTCCTGCAGGTGCCCTGCTTCTTCCATAGATTTTTCATCAAATATAGCAGGTCTATTGTGATCTGATTTCTGTTTCCAATTCCCAGGCAAATTGAGTTTCCAAAAATCATATGAAATTAAGTCAGCATATGTCTCGATTTCCACAGGAGCGCTGTAAAAAAATCCTAGTGGTAATCTTATTGTACCAGATGGCATTGCAGCTCTCGCTGATTATTTAAGCTTTTATGTACAGTTCTCCAAACAGCTTATGGAGTAAGTCAGCACCAACGTCCCCCTTTGCAGGTCAGGGTGTTTAGATACCGACTTCCTCAAAGTCACAAAACTGGGACAGAGTTTCAATCTCCTGAGTAATGAGAGAGCAGAGTTCAGCTGCAGCTCCTCAGAAGCAATTATGGGCTCCTGCTGCTTAGGATCCTTTGTCCCCTGCCCCACAAAGGCACGTGTGACTCCAGCATACCGCAGATTTAGCAGCAGTAAGATTTCTGTGTGGCCAGTTATGTCGAGGACACACAGTCCTTCCCCTGACAAACAGGCATCGCTCAGGTTCTTCCTAAGTGACAGCCCAGCTCAACTTACCAGGATCTGCAATGTCTCTTGGGTGCCCAACTCAGGAGTGTTGCATTTCGCTTAGGAGTCAGACCTTAGGAAGACTGCGAGGTGCTGCCCCACTTACTTGTGAGCACCTCGTATCCGTGTTAGTTGTATTTCATTATCAGATGCAGAGGAACAGACAGGTCTCATTTCTTTTAATCATTTATGTTTTGCTTGAGCTCCCACTGAGGTACTTAAAATACGCTCAGCTGTAATGCGGATGCTTTCAGTACATGTGGCAGGTGAGAACTGATTTCACTGTTACACCCTGCAAGCTGGGTATGTTTAAAAGGCTCACATCCTTCTGCTGATACAGTTCTTCATACTGAGTAGTGCAGATATCCTGAGATGAATGGGGTGCCATCACTTTTCTTTTTTGTTGTTGTTGTTGAAATGACCAAAAATAACCCAGTATAAAGCAATCATCTGCTAGACATGAAGTTGAACTACAGTAATCAAATGAAGTCCATGTCAACATGTTCGTGGCTCCGTGTCGGGGGGCCCAGGGGTGTTTCTGAGTATCTTATCCCGTTGCTGTGGTTTTTCAGGTATGGAGCTGTGTCAGCGGGAACGCTATGTGCCCTTACCACTCTGTCCCAGCAGCTGGAGAATGAAAATGCTGTTGATGTTTTCCAGGTGGCAAAGATGATAAATCTTATGCGGCCCGGAGTATTTACAGACATCGTAAGTCCCTAAATAGAATATAAATGGAGAGTTTATGAGATTTTCATCTGAGACCACAAGCATGAACTGAAACGCACGTTGTGTGCATTACCAAACCCCACAGCTTCTGCTGCCTTCTCTTGAATTTAAGCCCACCACTGATTTAACACGGTTATGTATTTGAAATGGCTGAATGTGGAACAATTATCAATGAAACGATGCACTGAATTCATCATATGAAATCATATAATGGGCATCAATTGTACATTACTGTTTAAAATCAACGTGCTGATGGAATAAAGAGGAAAGCAGGGCAACTGGACAAATGTCCTTCTTGCTGGGAAATTAGTAATGACACAGTGGTGTTTTTGCATTATTCTGTTTCTCCTGCAGTTTCCTTATAATGTCAACAGAAAGACTTCTCTTCAGTGGGCAGCAGATCAGCAATAATATAAAATGCTCACAATTAGGATGTTGGGCTGATAATGTTAAGCTGGATTAACACAGGCAATCACTCTCAAAGTATTTTTCTGTGATGTATGTATGCTTCTAGTAACAAATATCCATCACCTTCCTTAAAATGCCACACGTCAGTGCCGTTCACCTGCATGCAATGAAAGCATTGAGGTAACTTAGGTAACTTGTCTTTCTATTCCAGGAGCAGTACCAGTTTCTTTATAAGGCAATGCTGAGCTTGGTCAGCACTAAGGAGAATGGAAATGGTCCCATGACACTGGACAAAAACGGTGCTGTGATGGCCAGCGATGAATCGGATCCCGCAGAAAGCATGGAGTCTCTTGTCTAATTGGAAACCTGAAAAGGCACTTAATTTGTAGAACTTCTGAAGACTGAGCGAACTTTTTTGAGGCCTTTTTTGCCAGACTCTAGGTTATACAATAACCCAATTACTTTTTTACACTGATAAAAGTTTTGATATTTATTTTTTGCCATTTTATGTCTTAATGGTATCCTACTGAGCATTTGCACCTCTGTTTATTTCACACAGTGAAACGCAATTTTATCTAGTTTGCACTATATGATCAGTGTTACTGCCTATAATCTTCTAATACAAAACAAGCCCTGATGTGACATTCCATGACAACAAACATGCTTTTTCTGTTTTGTTTAAATGCAGTGAAGTTTTGCTAAACTACAGTGACCCTTGAATTTTCAATCTTGAATGCTAGGCGAGATGGATTCTTTCTACAACAGATACTGTACCCCTTCATTCCATATTTATTATTTTAATTATCATGTCACAACTTTGCTAACGGTATTCTGCATTCCAGTGGAGTGGATGAGCAGCGTTCATCCTTCTTGACAAAATGTGGCAGGTGATTATTAGCTACAGTGAAGGTGTAATGGCCTTGTGGAGCAGAAACAATTATTTCTGTATTGTTTCACGTTACTGTTTTGTACGCTCACAGACCTAAGACTTGCTTCACATGGAATAGAAAATCACCTACAATATAATTATGAATTAGATGCAATTCATGTGTGGGACGCAGTGACAGGTTTTGATTTTACAATCTCAAAGTTTCTCCATTTATGCAGAAAAATGTCAGTTTTTGCTTTTAGCCAGCCCTGCGATGGGAAAATATTTTGGTTTGATTTTCATCAAAGCCGATGCAGTAAGAAATCTCCTACAGCCCCAGGTCAGACCTGTTTTCAGATATATTGAAGGTAGCAATATTTTACATTACTAAGCTATTCAATATTTTAAACACATTAATTTCCTTACTATTTCTTGAATATGACCTCACACCTAATGGTATGTTACATGATGACAGGCGTTTCTTAATTTCATAACTGTTAGATGCCATTTTTACAGGTGTGTAATTTTCATACTTTAGTGCTAAAACATAAAGTACTGATCCATATTTACTGGTGAAGCAAACTAATAAAAAAAACTACCTATAAAGTTACATTCTCCCTCTTTTTTTTGCCAGACTAATTCTTTAGCACAACCCTAGTTTATTGTGTTTTCCCTCCCACACCAATGAACTGGTTTTTCCCAGATTATATAAATCATTTGAATTGTTGTTTGGAGCATCTAAGTATACATTCTCATTGGCTCCCTTTTCTTTTGCATTTCATTGCGATTCAACACCGTTCATCTTTATTTAACAGAAGAAGTAAGCACATACTTAATTCTCCAGAGATAAAGCCGATCATTTCCTTCATAGCTCTGCCGAACAGAGAGGGGTTATGGAATCTGCCTTGAGAATGAAATATGTTGTTTCAGGCATCCTGATGTTTGGTATACAATCACAGGCACCATCTTTACATATGGCGTTAATTTCTTTTCGATTCCAGCTGCACAGAGCATGCATTGTATTTCTGGGACTTGTCAAAAATATTGCAGTGTGTTTTTCTTTTCAGTGTAAAACTTTCTGCCAGCTGGGGCCTGCTAGAACAGACACATGGCAAGGCAAAATCTTCTTCTTGTGTTGGAGGGGAGGGCAAAGAGGAAGGTTAGCTAAGGGGAAGGTTCCGTAGATGTTCCATGCAGAAGGAAGCTGAAAGTGACATTTCTATGGAGAGTAGGTCTGTGAGTTTGGAACCTCTTGAGGTACAGAGTGATGCAGGCCCACTGGGAGCAGAGAGCTGTGCAGACTGGTATGTGCTAACATCTGGCCTTTTATTTTTAACAGAAAGACTTCCTTCTATGGATAGACTTGATTAATTCCCACACCAAAATATTTAAGAGTTCACCAGCAACCTTTTGCATGGTTACCCTTTTCTCACCAGTCTGTGGAATCCCTCAGTACAAGTGCTCCACATAACTGCTAATGCTGAACAGTGTGATACATCCATGGTTTCCTTGAGGAAATCCCATGTCCAGCACCAGCTAGTCCAAATAAAAACTGTGCAAAACTTTTCAAAAGGATGCATTGCATTGTAGTTTGCTTCCCCTTTGCCCTGAGATGTGCCAGCACCAGAGCGAGGCAGTGCTGCATGGTAGGAGCTCAGGCTGGAGGCTGGAGATGTGGCTGCTGAACCCCCACACCCCAGAGTGATCCCAGCCCTGGGGATGGTTTTGATCAGTTCAGCCTTGAGTGTTCAAGTACCCAGGGAGAGCTGTAGGGAGAAGGAAGGAATTCAAAGCCTGACAGAGCAGAATGATGCAGAGATTACTGAAGGCATCAGGAGAGTTGCATTTGTGCAGTACCCTTAGCTGAATACTTTTCATGATGGAAGGTAACTGTGGTTCGTGACGCACTGCCTGAATATCCTTGGTTTAATCTCTTCACACAGGCTTTAAAAATCAGTGAAAGAAGGCTGTGGGGTTGAACTTTGGTAGATGCTTTGGAAATCCGTGTGTTTGCATTGGCGTTTTCCCACACCTGCAGTACTTGGGGCTTAGTCCACGGGGAAATAATTTACAATGATGCTATATGACTTCTCCATAGATTTTTTTCTTAAGGGAGATTAAGTTGTATGTTAAGAACTGTGTTAACAGTCAGATAGTCAATAGAAGGTAGTGATGCATTAGGCTTGAAGTGGAAGAAGGTTGGGATTAGGAGCACATAAGAGCCAAACCCATTCTGCTGCAAGCAGATGCAGCTGTGCTCTCTTCCATGGACGTGCACCTCTTCCCATGGGACTAGAGGAGGCAGAAGGACCAAGCAAGCATTCACAGGCATGGAGCTCTACTAGGATGCTCTCACGTGCCTGTCTGGCCATCACTATGCACTGCCAGCCCCCACGCTGTAGCCCCTACTTGGCATTCAGTTGGGATGCTTTTCAAGCAGCAAAAGTTCCCATTGTGCATGCCTGCAAGTTAGGGGGGCCCAGGTCTGTCCCTGTGCTGTAAGATGTGATCCTCAGCAGCCGCACCGCGCGCGTGCATGCGTGTCTACATCTGTAAAATATTACTCCTTTGTGTCTTGCATGGCTGTGCACCTGCAGACCATGTGAAAGGCATAAACAGCTGTGAGTTGAGCCCATCATTATAGCCAAGCTTTCCAAGAGGGAAAGTGTCATCACAACATCTAAAACCAGTGGTGCTCCTGGACGTGGTTATCCCAGCTCTGCTAGGAAGGTGTGGGGGAGGCAGTGGGACTGCCCAGGTGTGCAGGCTGCAGTGCTGGCTCTTCAGCAAGACCAAGGTGGGAAGAGCTTTCGCTTTAACGCAGCATTTGTCCTTACTATTTCACAGTGTCTGTTCCCAAATATGAATTTAGGAGCGGGATAAAAACATCCCAAACCTTTATCCTCCTTCCTGTGTGCAGTCTTCTGCACCGTGGGTCTGTTCAAGGTTAGTGGAATCATTGACAGGATCTGCTTTGCTTCAGTTGTTTTTCCAATTTCTGACTGCTTGAATTGCTTGAACCCAGAGCGATGTCTTGGAACACTAGGAGAAGACTCTTTATGAAACAGCACAACTGCCTTCTTAACCTTTTTTTAAGCTGATATATTTTATTTAAAAGCTATAAATATAGATATTGATTCTACCAAAGATACATACTACTAATTCTCAGCAAAACAAAACCAACTTAATTAAGAAATAATAATAAAAAGTAGTTGTCTTACAGATTTAAGTCTTTCTCAAATTCATGTTTTTCGGTATCAAATCCGGTGTTCTGACGTTTGTGCTCAAATGGTGCCAGTGAATTTTTATATGAAGGGAAAATGCCTATTTATTAATCCACTGCATTGCTGCTCTTTTCCCCGGTTTTTTTTGTTTTTTCTGACAAACATAATTCAGCTTTTATTGTTACCCCGTTGCTTTTCTTCTCTTTGATGCCATTCTAACAATTTTAACAACATTGGCTTTGCTTATCAAAGGAGAAGGAATGCAAAAATAGAGAAAGAGAAGGAACTGTAATGAAGAGATTTGGCCTCTACTTTGTTGTAGCTGTTAAACTGTTTTTAGTGTTTTTGTTAACTATTTGCAAAGGGAAGCATTTTCTACAGAGGATAATTAATTTCAAGAAAAAAGTCTTGAGTTTTAAGAATAAACATGTCTCCAAAAGAGGAGATACTCAATTTTATACAATGTCACAGCTCTCCAACATTTGGGGTAGTGACCTCTTTGTTGTGTTAGAACATTTGAAATGAGCAAGCAGCCATTGTTTCTAAAGACCCAAGCATTCACGTTTACTCCTATTTTCTTTTCCTTCATTTTTAAATAGCGAAACCATTAAAACTGTAAATATTTTGTTGCTTGGATAAGCATCTTCTGGGAACTTTGTATCTATGGTATATAATCATAGAATTTTATATTTTCATATAAAGCTAATTTTTTTCTAGTTTCACCTCCTTCCTAGTTCTGTGGTGGCTATGTGAATCCATACCTTCTGTGTATCGAGGTAGTGAGACACCATCATCACACTCCAAAAAGATTTCCACCCGTCATTTCTTTGGGGCAGTGATTGTGAAGGTTAGATTCTTTTTTTTATTATTTTATTCCATTGTCAGTGTGTGCAATAGGAATTAGACTTAGCCAGTCACTGGATACGTTTGTCTCATTGATCCATTCAGACAAAAAAAAAATGTGGTGTTTGGCTTTGGGACAGGGTGGGAGGGAGGATTTTGAGGGAGATTTTTGGTTTGGTTTGGTTTTTTTTGTTTGGGGTTTTTTTGTAACTTGAAGAATCTTCTTTTTGTTATGTTTAAAACTATATCAAATCATTCTATTATAGTGTTATTTAATATGTAAATTGTATTGCTATACATAAAATAAAGTATGGATTTTGATGTATTTACAGACTTCTTTCTTATTTGCATCAAATACACATACAGAGCAGATGCGCAAGTCAGTATTTCATGGTCCCTGGTGTGCAGGAAGAATGATGAGATCCAAGGCCTGCTTTAATTAGGTCTCAAATTTCCAAGGAGTACTCAGCCTGGAACTCTCTCAGTCACTTGACAGTGGAGATTGCTTCTGCCCTCTTAATTGTCTCCGACAATCAGAGAGCTTTCTGCCTCTCAGACTATCAGCGCTTCCCTTTCCTCTCCGTGACTGTTCCCCCCAGACAGCTGTGACATCAAGATCCCTTTTGGAAAGGGGATTGTCTCTATTCTAAACTGGAGCTTTATACCTGGGTGTGATGTTCCTCAGACCTGGTTCAAGCTATCAGCAGATGTCTGCCTGCAGGAGCAGGGGCTTCCACCCAGCCACTGTCACTTGGTTTGCTGGGGTCACCTGCACCTACTGCTGGGAGCTGTGGAGGAGAAGGGAAACACATTCATCCCCACCTGGGGACGGCAGTGAGGGACAGATGTTTCAAATCCTAGAGACAGAGCAGCAAGTATTCCTCATGGCGTGTATTAGAATCCATACCTACTTGCTGCACCACAGCCAAGAGCTGTCATTGAAACAGGCACGTTGTGCTGTCAATGCCCAATTTTGAAAAAAAAAAAACATGAACAGCTCCACATACTGCCTGTGGTTTTGTGCTGACTGCACGTGTTACTTACATCGTTGTCCTTGTGAGAAAACTGCGTGGTGCTGGGGCTCTTGTTCTGCAGCAGGTGATGATGGGCACGGCAGCTCCAGAGCAGCGCAGGACCAAGCACATCCAGCTGGCAAGGCTTGTGAGCAAACCATTGCTGGGCAGTGGGAACACCTCCTAGGACAGTGACACAACATAAGAAGGGTCATCTGGGTGGTTACAGAAATCAGCCCCCACCAGCTCCCGAGCTGTCCTGGTGAGTGATGGGCAGGAGGGAAGGCAAAGCCTTGGAAAAGTGCTCGGATCCTGTGCCGATGCTGGAGCAGACCTACATCCAGTGGAAACACACTGTAAGTAGGTCATTAATGCTTGGGCAGAAAAAAAAAAATTATTATTTACCAGCACTTTCCACTACTAACAATATGCCTGAATTAATTGGCGGTATCAGGAGATCCCAACTTCTTCTGTAATGAATAGCTAATGAGTTTAGCCTTTAAGGCTTCCAGAGGCTGCTAACAGT